AAACCCTGAGGTGCCCTGAAGAGGTCACGGCTTCTTGGCTGACTTCTTAACCACAACTGTTCTGTCGTCAGCGTTTGTCAGACAAAACGAGACCCACAGCATCAGCACAGCTCCCTGTCGTCCTTTCCTAGGCAGCAGGCCCTGTTCCACGTCCTCGCGGCCTATTCCGTGTACAACCCCGTGAGTATCCTGCCCCAGGCCTGGGGTCCCTCGCCGTCTTTGCCTTTAAATCGCGTACCCGTGACCAGACAGGACGCAGGGGTCAGGCCCCAGCTCACAGGGTCACAGAGATGCAGCGAGGGGGCGGCTCATCTAAACTGAGTCGGAGAAGGCTGGACGCAGACTCCACTGTTCAGAACCGGAAAGGGGAGCTCACCCCTGGGGCTGCCCCAGCCCAGGAGCTTGGCGAGGATGCCAGCCGCTCGTCTCAGCGGGCATGTGTTACCAGTCAGCGTGGGGCCTCGTGAGCGTCACTATTGTCATCAGACTGCAGTTGGATCCTGAAGACGCCATGTTATTCATCAGAAACTCAGCAGGGATGAAGGTTCCCCCAAGGAACACCAGCTGAGCAACCCCACGGGCTGCCCACAGCGGGGTCTGGCCCAGCCGTCCTCCTGCGCCCAGTCAGGCTCCTGGCCTGTGTCTTGGCAGGGTCTCCAGACCTCGGGAGTCCCTGTCACCCTGGCACGTCTCAGAGGCGCCTCTCCCTCATCTGAGAAAGGGGACCCCAGGAGCACACCCCAGAGCTCAGGCACCGGGCTGCTGTGGTGCTGGTGCTTGAGCTGGTCAGCGGCTCTCCCCGTGGCCTAGAATCTCAGTGGTCCCTGCCGTCCTCACCTCCACCCTCTGGGCCCAGAGAGCCTGGGCCGGGCAGGGGTCTGTCTGGAGCTCGTGGAGCTGAGACGCGAGTGCAGGGGAGGGCACAGAGGCGGGCTCCGGGTCGTCCTTCCACGCGTGTCTGGCCCTTGTAGGAGGTGGGCTACTGCCAGGGCATGAGCCAGGTCGCGGCCATCCTGCTCATGTTCCTGAGTGAGGAGGACACTTTCTGGGCGCTGGCCCAACTGATGACTGGCGAGAGGCATGCCATGCACGGTAGATGGCCGCTGCAGGCCGCTGGACGTGACTTGGAGCCCAGGAGAGCCTCCCTGCAGAGCTCTCCCAGCGGTGGGGCTTCCCGGGGACCCCACCCAGTCCATCTCCCCATCAGAGAAGGGCCCCGCCTCCCCAGGCTGCCCTCAGGGTCCTGTAGCCACTGCCTGGGCCTGTCCTCATCCAGAGGATTCTTACATCTCTGCTGGTCCTGCCTCACATCCTGCCGCCTGCCCGGCCACCCTCCAGGCCCATGGCCAGACGAAGCCCAGATGGCAGCATCGCCCCTCCTGCGTGCCCCCAGCCTCACTCCGAGCCCAGGAGGTGGCCGCGCACACTCCCGTCACCCACCCCGTGGCTGCATGCCCTGCTCCTCAGTGCTGGGACCCCCATGCTCCCGCTGTGGCCACTGTGGGGAGCGGGGATGGGGGTGGTACCAGGCTGTCTGCCTGACCCTCAGCACAGGGCACCAGCAGAGCTGAGCCTCTGTGAGGCGGTCCTCTGCCCCTGGCCACCCCGGGCCCTAAAGGCAGTCCTGCTCTCTGGGAAGAGGGTGTCCAGCAAGAGCGTGGAAGGCCGTGGACGCAGGGCAGGGTCACTGGCGGGGAGGAGGCCTTCGGTCCAGCGGGGGGCACCTGCCAGTGCCCCACCCCCACCCCGCTGGGAGCAGGTTCTGATTGGCTGGGGCCCGGGGGCTTCTCAGGTTTCTTCATTCCGGGGTTCCCAAAACTGGTACGGTTCCAGGCCCATCATGACCATGTTCTCAGCAAAGCTCTCCCAAAATGGAAGCAGCACATGGTGAGTAGGAGCGTCCCGGCCTCATCCCCAGGCGCTGTCCCAGGGGTGGGGACAGGGGAGGTGGGCCCGGCCCTCCTGCTGCTGAGAGTTTGGTTTCATTTTCCTGATCCTGTGGGGCCAGGAGCCAGCAGGGCTGAGCTGGGCTTCGGGAAGTGTGTCTACTCAGCCCCTGGGAGCGGCTGCAGAGGGCCCTGTAATAGGGGGGTTTGCGCCCGGGCGGCAGGCCCTGAGCACGCTCTGGCCTTCCGTGAGGACGAGGAGCAGATGTCCACCGGCATTTGCACCGCCAGGTGGTTCCTGCAGTGCTTCCCTGACCGGGTGAGGCTGCCAGGGAGACCCCGGCCCAAGATACTCTCTGCCCCCGGTGTCTGGGGAGTGCCGAGCTCAGCCACACCCCAGACAAGCCAGGCCCTGCTAGAAGGGCTGATGGGGCCAGGACCGCTCCTGGGGAAGCCCAGAGCCCCCCTCCAGGAGGATGGACCCCCAGGCCCCGGGGACGGGCTGTTTCCACCTCGGCTCCTGGAGGGAAGGCCGGGTCAGCCTGGGGTGTGGACGAGCCCTTGGCCCACTGCAGCCAGCATCTTGCTCCTTCGGGTTCTTCCTGCCAGGTGGGGGGCAGTCCCTGTTGCCCCCAGGTCAGCAGTCGTGTGGGCCAGCCCCTTAGGTCCCTGAGTGTCCTGGCGGAGAGCACCTTCGTCCAGTAGCCGTGACCCCACTGGGATGAGTCCACCCAGATGAGGAGCTCCGGGACTTGTCAACTGCAGGCACCAGGGGCAGATGGGGGGTTCTCACCCCGTGCTGGGCCCTGCTCAGCTGCCCCTCCCCTGCCTGCTGTCCCCACAGACCCCCTTCTCACTCACCCTGAGGCTCTGGGACACCTGCATCCTGGAGGGTGAGCGCGTGCTCACTGCCACAGCCTCACCATCTTCAAGGTGCAGAGAAGTGAGCAAGTCCGTGGGAGCCCGAGTGTGGCCGGGGTGCGTGGCCCACTGCTCCAGCCCCACCTGGGCAGGGCACCCTCTGGAGAAGCGGCAGCAAGGGGGTGGGCACTGCCCGGGGCCCTCCTGGGCACAGCAGAACCCGGCAGCCGTCCACAAAAGGGAGCCCGGGTGATGGGGGCCCCCGGCCCGACGCGCACCCCTCTCATAGAACGCCTCCTGCAGCTGCCCCTGGAAGGCCTGCAGGAGTTCCTGCAGGACAGGCTGTCCCAGCCTGGGGCCTGGAGGACGACGCCGTGCTCAGGCACCTGCAGGCCTCGATGCTGGAGCTTCGGAAGATGAAGTGGGACCTGCCCCCCCTCAGGAGGCCTCAAGGGCACAGTCCTCTCCCGATTCACCCTCTTGGGGCAGTGCATAGTGGGGAGCCCCCAGGGCCTTCCCCTCTTCCATCCCCTCTTCTGCTCTAAGAAGCTTCGGCAAACCAGGCCAGGGCTGGGTGTCAGGGCTGACCCTGTGGACACGGGATCAGCAGCCTGGAGGGTTGTGCTCCGTGTCAGGCCAGGGCGGCCACGCATGAGCCACGAGGACACCACGAGCCCCACCTTGTGCGGGCCCAAGGGCCTGGTGGAGAAGTTAACCCAGTCTGCTTACTTTCAGCACAACCGGAGGAGTTCCCCACGGTGCCCCTGGGCCCGGAGCCAGTGTCCCCAGAGCCCAGGCCCCTCCTCACCTCGCCAGGGTGTGAGCAGATCCCCACAGGGGACGGGCAGGCCCTCCCCCTCCTACCCGCCCAGCGTGAGCAGCTAGGACCCTCGCCTGCCCAGGCTGTCCCCAAGGCCGAGGAGCAGCAGCGTGAGGGGGCCTCCACAGGGCCCATGGCTGCACAGGCCTCTCTGGGGGCCTCGAAGGCTCCGGGTCTGGCCTGCCTGCCCCCAGCCCAAGACAGCTCTCGGGACGGGCTGCAGCCGCGGAGGTTCTGTTCCCTCCCAAACCTGCCAGGGAGTCAGGAAGCCCCGGGGCAGGTGGCCCCCAGACGTGAGCTCTGAACTGGAACACTGGGTCTCTCTCGCTGCATCACCTGCCTGGGCTACCCCCAGGGCCACCAGACAGGCCCAGCCCTGCCACGCCCCTGGAGCCCCAGCGACAGGTCCCGTCCAGATGGAGGAAGACCAAGCTGTTGTGCCCCGGACACCCCTCCTGCCCTGTGGCGCCTGCAGCCCACACCCCTCTCAGGATAGCGACCAGCACGACGGAGATAAAGCCCTGGCAGGGCCCGGCGAGCTGCCCCGAGGCCCCAGCCGTCCCCGATACCCTCTGACCTCAGGGTCCATGGGGAAGCTGGAGGCTTGGGGTCCTCCGGAGGGGAGGGTGATGGAGAGGGCAGTGGCCCCGAAGCCCCAGCCAGCAGCAGCGTACCGTCTGTTCACGCTGGCCTTCCTGGAGGACGGTGCCCCCCTCACACAGCACCAGTCCCTGACGCAGAGGGGCCTGGCCTGACCTGAACCCGGGCCCTGGGAGGGCAGGGGCGCCATGAGCGCTCCCCCAGCCGGGATGAAGACAGAGGGCACCGAGCCGCCTGTGTCCCTGCTCGGTGCTGGATTCTGGCCCAGGGCAGAGCCAGCCCTCTCTGAGAGGTTTGTGGCCACCTGGGGCCTGGGCGTGCCCTACAAGGCCACGTCAGTGACCTGAGGCAGCTCCAGGAGCAACAAGCCCCCCAGCGAGGGGTTGCAGGGGCAGGCGGGCCGGCGCCACCCTCACACCCTCCAGGTGGCAGGGACGGCCAGACGCCGGGGCCCTGAGCGGACACCTGGCAGCAATGGGGCAGAGCCCAGAAGCCGAGCTGATGGCGCTGGGCCCTGCTCCAAGAACCCAAGAGCTGCTGCTCCAGATCAGGCTGGAGAACACTGTCGGAGGCAGGTCCCTCACTCTTAAAGGCCAATAAAGTGCTTTCATTGCCAAAATGCAAGACCGGCCTGTCCTTGTAGCGCCCAGAACTCTCTGCAGGATGGACCAGACGCCCCATGACGCAGAGCGTGGTGCGACCCAGGCCCCCTGACCAGCCTCTGCCAGCTGTTCTCACAGAGGGGCTGCCGGCCAGCTGGAGCTGAGGTTCCCGCCGTGCCTGGTGCGAGGCCACATGCACCACAGCCTCCCAGCCTCGGCCAGACGCCAGGCTCAAGACCATCAAATAATTTACTGCAACTCGACCTGTGCCCGCTGGGCCAGGACAGGGCTGGAGGAGAGGACAGCGGGGGGGCCGGTGGGGTCAGTTCGCGACAGTCTGTGCAAAGTGTCCTGGGAGGTCTGCGGTCACTCTGTCCACCGACCCTGGGCTGGCCGCACTCTAGTGGCACTTCCTTCCTTCCTTCCCCCTCCTTCCTCCATCTGCACCTCCTCCCCACATCCGGCACCTCCGGGCCCTGCGTCTGTGCCGGGCGGGGCACAAACGACCAGCAGGGACGTCAGAGTGGACGCAGCAGTGTCACCGTCAGGAGAGCAGGCACTTGCAGCTCATGCAGCCCGGGCCGCCCTCGTCCGGAGGGCTCAGCTTGCGCACCTTGTGCTGCCGGATCTCGCGCACCAGTGTGTAGAAGGCGTCCTCCACGCCCTGGGGAGAAACAGCAGCTCAGAGGGGGACTCAGCCTGAAGGCCCAGCCAGGAGGAGACCGACGGTCCCCTGCCGCAGGCTCAAGCAGAATCCCAGCCCCTTCCCCACCCCCACACCCCCACACAGGGAGGCAGGCCCTGCTCATCCTGTAGGCCCAGGGCCACCCCATCAGGTGGCTTCTCCTCAGCAGCTCCCCCCCAGGACAGGGTGGCCCCCGGGTCTGGCTCCGAGCTTGACCACCCTGTGCTCACCTCCTGTCTGAACTACTGCCCTTGTCCCCAACAGCCCACAGGGGTCAGGGCCGACAAGGGCCCACAGGGTGCTCTGGGGACAGAGGGGATGGGGCCCCAGGGTCACCGCTCCGGCCTGGCTCAGGACAGCTCTCTCCAGGGACCTCCCCCTCCCCCTGGAGCTGTGTCAGCCCACACCCCGGCCCTGGCCTCCCTCGCTGCCCTGCCGTCGGGGGAGACTTACAGCGCGAGGGGCTGGTGGGTCACGGGGGTCCCGGAGGGTCCCAGGGGGTCCCGGAGCTGGAGCCAGAGCCAGAGCGGCTGCCCTGTGTCAAGGGAGAGGGGGCAGTGAGCGCTGCCCCCTGGCCAGGGCGGGGTGTGGCGGGGAGGGGCGGGTCCCTGGCTAGCTGTGGGGTGGAGAACCAGCTCACCTGGCGCGTCTTGGCCGATGTCTCAATATACGGGATGCCATAGCTGCGGGCGAGGTCCTGCGCCTGCCGAGACTCCACAGTGCGCGCAGCCAGATCACACTTGTTCCCTACCAGCACCATGGGCACGTCATCCGAGTCCTTCACCCGCTTGATCTGCTCCCTGCAAGGAGGAAGGTGTGAGCCAGCTGGCAGGCTGCAGGTATGGCTGCATCCAGGGCACGCAGACAGAGAACAGGGAGGCCCCTGAGGGCCGGCGGGCAGCTCACCTGTACTGGTGGATGTCCTCGAAGGACTTGGTGTTGTTGATGGCGAACACACAGAGGAAGCCCTCCCCAGTGCGCATGTACTGGTCCCGCATGGCGCTGTACTCCTCCTGGCCTGCTGTGTCCAGGATGTCCAGCAGGCACGTCTCCCCATCAATGACCACCTGCTTCCGGTACGAGTCCTGCGGGAGGACACTGCTCAGGGACCCCTATGCCTCCTCAGATGGGGCGCTCACACCACCAGCCCCACCCTTGCACCTCTCGTGCCCCTCCCCCTGGGTTACTATGGAGATAGGACCCCCTCCTATGTAGCAGCTGGAAGACAAGCCCACATCAAGATTCGGGGCTCGGGACAGGGCCGTCCCGGCTCACCTCAATGGTGGGGTCGTACTCGTCCACGAAGTGGTTCTGGATGAGCTGGATGGTCAGTGCACTCTTTCCCACGCCTCCAGCACCCACCACCACGAGCTTATATTCTGTCATCGCTCCTCAAGAGGCTGCAGCAGGAGGCACTGCAGTGATCTCCTGTCCGCCCTGCCGAGGAGTCCACATCAGCCATGCCCAGGGCCCACGGGGCAGGCCCACTGAGCTCCCTGGGCTGCCCGGCCCAGGCCTGGCCTGACCTGTGCGCCTGGACGTCTAGGTAACAGGGATGGCAGCCAGAATGGGGGCCCAGCCACTCAGCTGTGGCACCTCCAGCCCAGGGATGGGAGAGGGGCCCTGCCTCCAGCTGCACTTCATGACCGTGTGGGAGAGGCAGGGAGCTGACCCCCAAAAGCAGGGTGACAGCCGAGAGCATCTCCCAACCACGCACCCAAATTAGAAGCTGCTGGGTAGGCAGAAAGCCTGAGTGGAGGCGCCCGCGGTTGAGGTTACCGGTCCCCCTCCCTACAAGAACAGGTCTTGTCACCGTGGAGCGCACAGCAGCGTGCCCAGGCAGGCCAGTGCCAGCCGACACCCGGCTCCAGGCCCCACTGGGCATGCTGGTGCATTCGACAAGTATTCACCGGGCACCTACTGCATGCCAGGTGCTGTTCCAGGCACGAGGTGACAGGCAGACAGAAGGAACCCCTGCCCTCCTGGGCTCAACCTCCAGCCCAAGGAGGAGGAGACCCACACGTTAAAATGAAGGAGACCCCAGGGCATTCTATGGCCATAAAAACTTTGGAGAAAATAAGGTAGCTAAAGAGGCCAGGTGGGGGCCAGCGTTCCCATAAGCAGAAGCTAACCAACAGGAAAGACCCACAGCAGGTGTGGGAGCCGGCGGACAGGTGAGGAAGAAGAAAGGCCTGGGACCCAGGCCCCCAGCTGGGGTGTCCTCAGTTTGTGATGTTTAACGAGAGGGTGCCCTTGAGGGGACAGTGGGCAGTGACTTCCTAAACCCAGACTCGCCTAGTGTGCGTGATGGCCGCCGGGTAAAGAGGTGTTCCGAAGGGTCCTGGGGCCTCTGGCGGGCGGGAGACCCGGCCTAGCGCCATGGCCCTAGGCCGGCCTCAGCTCAGGGCCCCCACACATCCCGAGGGCCCCATGGAGGACAGGGCCGGGGACACAGCGCCCAGGAGCTGGTCTGGGCCAGGCAGGGGGAACCCGCCGCCGGCACGCCCAGCACCCCCGCCGCCGC